CATGCGTATTTATCACGCCCCAAGCCTAGATTGTATGCAAGATCGAAACCCAATGTCGTTGTTGGTCCGATCATACCCATAATATAGCATTAGACATGTCATATATCTAGACATGAGCGAAAACATAGTCTAAAAGCATTCGAAGGGAGGTCTTGTAAATGAAACACTTTTCATTAATGTAAATCATAGTACAGAAATCACTGACAAAGGACACGGAGGTCAAACTGAAGCATAACTAATTATCTACCTATGAAACCTCTAAATATAATTGAATACTGACTTAATGACTATCATTGCCTCTTCATTTAACTCATCATCTTTAATGGAGGTATGCCACCATGGATGCTTTGATTCCCCTCTCTTTGAAAATAATTTGTCCTCGAATTTGAATCTCGCTAAATAAAAAAGAAATGCATTAGTAAACAACATCCATTACTCGAAAACAACAATAATATAACCAAAACAACAATAAAAGAATTACTTTTAATTAATCTAAGTCATAGTACTGAAATCACTATGACTATTTTGTAGAACATAGATGTCGCTTTTAAGGTTTTAGAATTTGGGGTGTGTTTGGAATAAAGGAAAATGTTTTCCATGAAAATATTTTTCTAGTAAATGTTTCTTGTAAAATAAATTGGTTTCTAACTTATTTTCTTATTTTTGGTTGGTGAGTGGAAAATATTTTCCATAAATATTTTCTAGTGTATAATTGGTGAATAAAAATAATATTTTTCTTACAAAATATCATTTATTCTTAGCTATAGAGTCAAAAAATACTTTTTAGGAAAATATTTTTGACTGAGAAATCAACCTCGATAATCGATATGGCATTTAACCCCAATCCTGAGAACTTACCCAAGACCAAACCCCGCCCCGAGACTTGACCTCAATCTTGTCTCGAAACCCAACTCCTACCCCGACCTAAGACCCAATCTTGACTCAAGACCTCAACCCTTACCTGAGACTCGACCCTAACGCTGACCTAAGATCCGACTCGAACCACAACTTGAGAGCTGAGCCTAACCTTGATCGAAGACCTAACTCACTACTAAAAAATTGCCAAAAAACGACGCACTGAAAAGCGACGGACTGTGTCACCCAGAAAAACGATGACTTTTTCCACGTTGTCCGTCGTTTTTTAGTAAAAATAATTATTTTTTAAATTATTTGACAAAAAGCGACGGACAGCATCGCTTAGTCCGTCACTTTTTTTAGCGGATTTTTGCGCCACATATATATATAATTTATAATTAATTATTTAGTATAGGTAGAGACGCTGTCCGTTGCTTCTTATTAAAAATAATTATATATAAGTTTAAAAATAACCACTCTGTCCGTCGCTTTCTATTAATTGTTATTTAATAATTATTTTTTAAAGAAGCGACGGACATCATCTTTGTGTCCGTCGCTTCTTGGTCAAAATTGATGGTCAAATATTTTTAAAAAGCTATGGACAGTGTCGTATAATCCGTCGCTTTTTGGTCAAAATCTTGGTCAAACATTTAAAAGAAAAAGCGACGGACATAGAGACGTTGTCCGTCGCTTTCCTTAAAATATATGGATACCAGATGGGTTTTTTCCACATTCTCCCTTCTCCCTTCCTTTCTCTCTAAAATCGCTCCAAGCCCATACGCTGTCTTTTGGTGTCGCCATTGCTGCCGTCATCGTTGTTGTTGCTGCCGCCGCTTAGCTCCCTCTCCATTGTCTCTAATTTCTCCTTTAATTGAAGGTTATGGTTTCCTTAAATTAGTTTTAAATTTTGTATGCTCTTCTTGGATTAGCAATACTTTTTTGATACAAAGTAGTGCATTTGGAACCATTAGTATTCCCTTATGAACTTTTCTCAACTTATAACTTAAAATATTTGAATTTACTTTAATTGAGAAGTCAATGCATGAAAATAATTATGCAATAGCTTTCAACAATTCTCAACTAAATAGAATTCATGTGATAAAATAAGCATGAGCAACAATTCAAGAACCAAAATACATGAAGTACTATAATCTCAATGATAAGAATCAAAATTCAATAACAAGGAATAAAGGTCAATTCGAAGTTCATGAAAACTTGGGTAAAATCCCTAGATTTAACTCTTACTAGTAATTTTTTAGATGTAGGGCGTGAGGACGATCTAGTCCAACATATGATTAGACTTACATACCTAGAAGAACAATTTTCTTGAAGAAGCTTGAAGGAAAATCTTGGAAGATGAACCATAGCCTTATTGTTTCTTGAAGTTCTTGAGCGTAGGAATTTAGGAGAGAATGAGAGCGTTTGGATTAAGAAAACTAATTTTTTGCACATTTAGGGTAATTTAGATGACTTTCTAAAGATTTTTAGGACAAAAATACCCTTAAAAAATAAATAAGAAGAGCTGGAAGTCGGGATTTTATTCTAGCGGACAGTGAGGTCCGTATTCACCCCGTAATGCAGAGCCATCGCGGAGCTGCTGCCAGGTTAGAACGTCTCTAGTAAATTAGTTATAACTTTTTACTTAGAACTCGGATTGAAGCAAACTTGGTGGTGTTATAAAGAAGACTCCAATGCCTTTAATTGGATAGGGTATGGACCACTTAACTCTTTATATTCTAAGATATATGGTCATTTGAAGTTGACCCAAGTAGAATCTTACATCAAAACTTAATTGGTAAAGAAGCTTTCAACTCAGATGTGTGCTAGGGGATTCTAGTGACCTTAATTCGTATCCAAATTCATTCCCACACTAAAGAATTGACCTTTACACATATGAAAAATTTAAGAATCGCCTGATACGACCTTACGTGTAAATACTAAAGAATAGTTCGGATCTTAACTTTGAAACTTTTGGAATGTTACACTTTAATTGACTGAAATTTAAATTAACCAAAAATAATAGTTTCTCCTAATCAAAATTGAATCTAGCTAAATTCTACCCGACCCACTTAAAATTCTACTGACCCAAAGGAGAACCCTTCTAAACAAATCAATTTACTTTCTGCAAATGAGAGGCGTGTCTTGGGAAAAAACACGATATGACCACTCGAAGTGTGTTAGACCAAAAAGACTAGTTATACAAGTAGCTCAACTTGGTTCCACAAATGAAAGGTGAGAACCTCCCTCCTCCCTCTCTTTAAGCCACAACTGAGCATTTTACCCAAAAAAAAAAAAAAAAAAGATTCTATAGTATAAACATGAACTTTGGCCGTTAGATAGTTTCCTAACACAAAGGAAAGAGCATTTTTTTTTTGCCAAATCACAGATTTAAATGCAGGCATACTTTTCCCAAGACTCATTAGTTTCCCAAAAGCCGCCTGCAAATTACAGAAAGTAAATTGTTTGTGTAGAAGGGTTCTCCCCTTGTATTTTTAAGATATGATTAAGTAGAATTTTAAGTGGGTCGGATTGAATTTAGTTGGATCCGAATTTGATTAAGAGAAATTATTATTTTTGATTAATTTAAATTTCAGCCGATTAAAATCTGCCATTTCATCAATGAAAGAATTAATTATTATTCTTAAAGAATCTGTTAAATGAAAGGGTAATATAGGTCTATATAGGTGGATGAAAGGCTATTTTGAAGCTCAAAGGTGGTGCGAGAGTATTTTTGTTCCATTTCCTATACTTGAAAGGCATTTACTTCAAACCAAATGAAATATACATTTATTTGTTAGGTTGTTATCAATTTAGTTCAAATGTTCGATTATTAATACTCCTCCGTCCACAATTGTTTGTCAGGTAAGGTCATGCACAACCCTAAGGAAAATTTAATACAAGGTATAATTTGACTAATATAATCCTACTATATCAAGAATACCAAAAGTCCACATAACTTTTCAATTGAACTACACTATCATTAAGGGCATAATTGGAAAAAAGTGACTAATTATTTCTTGATTGTTTAAATTGACAATTAATCTTGGACATCTATTTTTAGTATACCTGCCAAACAATTGTGGACGGAGGGAGCAATAAACAAAAATAAAATTGAAAGACAAGGTAATGACTGATGACTCTACCGCAAGATGTAATGGTGAACATGATTATATAGAATGTATATATATAATTATAAAAAAGATCAGTATATAATTTCTTGGTTTGATTCGTTTATTTCTTCAATTTTTTTAAACAAAATTAAATCAAAATATTATCGATGGTTAAAAATGTAAAATCAACTTGCAATACAATCAGATTATTTAATTAATTTGAATAAATCAAATCCTATATGGTGCTCCACCCCATTATTAATGGGATTGCTCCCACAACTTACATTTGTATTTGCCAACTAAAAGATGAAGATTATATTATATACAACTTAAGCCTTCTTAGTTTAACAACATTAAATTAAGCAACTGAAAACACACTTAGACAAAAGTAACTTCTCATTTCTGGTATATAAACCAAGTCCTTACTGAACAACATTATTGTTATCTTATAGGGGCAGGGATGCCCAATACTAGGAGCTGCTAAGAGACCACAACCCAATAGTTATTCTATTTAAGTACTCTATTTGCAGAGCCTCCTGCAGGCTGCTGGGAAAAAGCTACTACTGCCAGAAACAATTGTATGAAGACTTACAACGATCAGGATGAGTCGCGAGACTAAGTAGAAATATTTGCTGGTCGCATTCCATTTACTTCCAAACCTGGAAAACACTTGGGTATTGATTTCTTCTTAGAAGAACTATCTACAATTAAGGGGAATGAATATTTTCACTTTTTTCAAGAAGAAAATGCATAAAAAATACACAAATGAACTATGTATCTATCAATTTTCATTTTGACAACATCTAAAAGCCTATTTAGTTTCCAATTAGGGCCTGTTTGGATTGGCTTTTGGCTTATGACTTATAAGCCAAAAGCCATAAGTTAGGATTTCTAACTTATGACTTTTGGCTTATTTTTGTTATTTTGGCTTTAAAATAAGTGCTTATAAGCACTTTTTAACTTTACCCAAACACTTCAAAACTGCTTAAAAGCTATTTTGACTAAAAAGCACCTAAAATAAGTCAATCCAAACGGGAACTTACTCTCTATTCTTGTGGAAGAAGGGCAATCTCAATTTCTTGAAGTGACTTTCCCTTTGTTTCCATCACATTCCTCTTTACAAATACCACGGCCATCACGCAGAAGGTGCCAAATATGGAGTATAATAGGTGTGGCCCAAGTTGGTCGAGCAAACGCAAGAACATCAGTCCAACAAAAAAGTTAACCACCTAAAGAAAGCACCATAGACAATTAAGAAAAGCAGTTGTATTGACTTCTAAGCTCTCATTTTTTTTTTCAACTCCTTCACTTCCCTAACTCAATAATTGAACAATGGCGTAATCAATCAGCTGAAGAGAGGTCGGATACCAGTTGTAAACAGAAAAATGGAGAATTTGATGAGACTAATTTACCCAGTGAACTGACATACAAAATGCCATAGCTTTAGCCCTAATTCGACTGGGTAATATTTCTGGGAGGAGGAGACCAGGAACTGGACCAGCTCCAACAGCAAATGTCAAGACAAACCTGCATAACGAAGTTTCAAATAGATACATACATCTTGTTCAGTATTTTAATATATGCTTCCATTACTAAATTAAAGAGGAAGGATAAACTTATCTGGTCACACTAACAAGGTAAACTTGGAAAGAAAAAAAAAAACTCAGATTATTTTCATGTTACCAGTCCTATTCTACCATAGAAAAGACAAGAAGACTGCAAGTAATGTTGCAAGTAAAGCCTACAGGTATTACAAGCTGCTAGTCATCCGTTGGGTCCTTAGGAAGGGAGTGAAGGATACAAATTTGTGCAACCAGGTGAAAACATGACCCCAGATTATCGACTTTCAAACAACCAAGAGTGCAAATGTGTTTTTAGTTCACATGTACTTTACTATTAAAAGTTGATTTATTGAGTTTATCCTTTGGACTGCTAGATGTGGGTGCTAATAAGAAATGTTATAACAAAGTAACGATTTCATCATAGATACTGCTCCATATTCTAGCACTGGCATCAACCTGTACAAATCAAATCATCTGTAAGAATTCTAAGTCAAGGAACTACTCACAGCAGCATGCCACCAACAGAAAAGTAAAAAGCTCCATAATTTGATGCAATCCCACTTGAAGCAAACGCTTGAAGGGCCATGGCCAAAGCCTAAATAATTCAATTCCCCAAACATGTCAAATTTCAGATAATCCAACTACTACAAATAGTCTAAAGATAAATAGAAATGTCTTTATCACTAAATTTGCCAATATAAGGTCTAAGTATGAATAAAATGAGGGAGAGAGGGATGTTTCAGAAAATGAATTCATATACTGAGCAACATATGTTCTCTTTTTCTTCTGCAGAAGTAACTGAATGTATTAACAAAAGTAGCACCCAGGAATGGCCTTAAATTAGAAAATGCAACACATGGCCCCTAGGAAGAATTCTAGGATTGCGTCAAATTAGCTCATTTCCACCGTCTTTATATCCTTCCAACAAACAAGTAACTGAACTTGCCTCTAAGAACCCGAGACGGGAATGTAAATAGAAGACATTCCCTGGAAAGCCTCACAACCTGGTTGTCAGCTTAACAATTATGACATTAGAGAAATTGAAAGATTCATCTCAATACATATTTTTCCTTGAGCTTAATGCAATATTTTAGGCATGAAGTTTCGTTCCAAGTATTAATGATCCCAGTGCAAGCAGGTATTTAATAAGTAAGATACATTACCATTCCAAAGAAGCTCCAATGAAGGAGGACTTTCCTTCCTAATTTGTCCATCAGAACCAAGGCCACAATTGACCCTGGAAAACCGTGGAGAGGAACAGAAGGTTAGCTACAGACATTGGACCAATTTCGAGAAACTTAAGAACACAGGGGAAGATAGAAGAGAGGAACACAACCCGAGGATGTTCACTAGTCTGTACCTGTCAAGTTTGCAATCCCAATAAAAACATTTGCCAGGTTCGAGGATACTCCCGCACGTCTAAATACAGTTGAAGAGAAATAAAACACAGCATTTATTCCAGATAGCTGTTGTAAAGCAAATAGGGTTGCCCCAATAAAAACAACTGCAAAAGGAGTAAGTAAATGACAATGGACTTGGAAAGTTTATAATGGATTAAGAGAACAGACAAAGAAGATTCTGTTCGTGGCAATGCTACAGATGTCAAAATTTCATCAACATAAAAAACTATTAACTCTGGGATTGTAAATAAGGGAACTGTATAACTAAACCAGAAATTCACTATCTTTACCTCTAGAATGCCGTCCATTGAGCAATTCAGAGATTTTAACACTTTCAGTTTCGTCCCCTCTATCCGACTTTGAAAGCTCTAGCATTGCACTTTTAACATGTGAACTTCCTAGAAGCCTCTCAAACTCGAATTCAGCCTCAGCAAGTTTTCCTCGCTGCAGATAACAGAAAATTAAGCAACTAAATTAATCGACTAGCAGGATAGAGCCAATTGATCCTCGTCTTTACTAATATCATCCCTTAGCTTATGGTATTTAGTGAATCAGCCAGCAAAATTTTCAGTGCCAAAGAAATTTACTTTATTAGATTTATATATTTACATATGACAGCTATAGCAACCTAGAAATGAGTCGGAGGTTACAAATTGCAGAGTAATCATCTTAAAGGTGCAAGAGGCCCATAAAATAGAATACCTTATATAGCCAATGAGGGGACTCAACACAAAACATCATAGCAAGTGCAAGTATTGCAGCAGGAATAGTAGACACCCAAAAACATACACGCCACCTGTACATATCAGAACGCATAATGAGCTCAGATACAACTTCATTGTTTACACGAGACAAGTCATCTACAAAAGCTTCTCCACTAGATACACTATCTATCTTACCAACCCACTATATTCTTGACAGGGATCCCTATAACAAGAGCTGCCATCAGCCCAAGACATGTTGCTATTTGAATCAAACTCCCGTAAGTACCCCTCACATGAGCAGGAGAAACCTGCATCAACATCAAGAGTTATAACAGAATTTGAGAAGGAATAAAATAACTACAAGCATCAGGCCCTAAAGCTAACAGTAGTTTCACCTCTGCAACGTAAAGAGAAGCAACCGGAGGACCCACGCCCAATCCTAATCCCACTAAAAATCTTCCTGCGAGCATGCCTGCTAGAGTTTTGGCAGTTGCACTGGAAAATAAATTTGTCAGTAACAGTGCAATGACTTTAAGAAAAAAGGAGAATCATAGGAAATCTGATACCAGAACCATGAGAAGGAAAGCACAATTCTGTTACTTTTAATGCGACAAGCGAAGCATCTTTTCAAAATCCTCAAACAAGATCAACAGAAGTAAGGAACTTCCATAAAAGCAATTTCAACCAGAAGATAAATGACAAAAAGAAAAGAAGAGAAACTTCAATTCCCAAGAAAAGGGTGCTGGAGAAATTTTTTGTGATTTTAAGTTTTCCAGACCAACTACTAAGATTTCAATCTCACAAGCATACGCTATCCTGTCAACAACAAGTCTCCCTCTTACTCAAACAAGCCTTTAAACTATGTACATAGCATTATATACTGTAATTTTTAATTACCTAAAAAGGCATACTTGAGATTTCAGAACACAACATTCAGTTATTCAAATTTGCCAGAAATAAATTCATACATTAAATCAATACCTCTATTAGCTATTTTCAAGTGAACTACAAAGGCTTCTCCAGAATACCTTCATAATGATCACTACCTAGCGTAAACATACCATCTAATCAACAAATATACACTAAGACACCTGAATATAAATGCACATAACCAAACAAACTACAATGTGGAACTTTAAATGTAAAAAAGGGCAGCTTGGTTCACTAAGCTCCCACTATGCGCAGGGTCCAGAGAAGGGCTGGACCACAAGGGTCTATTGCACATAGTCTTACCCTGCATTTGTGGAAGAGGCTGTTAACGACTTGAACCCATGACCTCCTGGTTACATGGAAACAACTTTACCAAATACGCCAAGGTTCCCCTTCAAAGCGAAACTTCTTAATGTAAGAGGAATAACCCTTTTTCCCCGTATTATACTCAATGGTTCATGTACATGTTTCTTAAGTCACTACTGCACACTTAAGTGTATACCACATAGAAGCTATATGGTCTTCGGGTGCAACAACGTTAGAAAAACTAGACATTTGTCATAACCAAGAAGACTTGAATGCAAAATGAAGAGTTGAGCATAGTGTGTTTGATGAACAAAAATTTACATTAGAACTATGGTTACCCAGATTGATAGTGAGGAAAATGGACAAAAGAAAAATAGGCCACAAATTGCCCTACTTCCATAGATGCAATCATGCTCATGGGTCTTTCTGGGACATCTTTTTATCTCTTTACTGTCATTAAATGAAGATGTAGTAGTTTCTTTCCACGTGTCTTGTAATGCAAATACTCTTTTCTTTTTTCCATTGTGGTGGTGTCAGAGGAAAATCTCTCAGGCAGAATCCTTCTTAAGAAGATACCCACGTAACTTTACACAGGCCTTCCCTAAATCATGGGACCTCTTTTCTTCTCATAAACTCTTCAGTGCACTGACTTTCTAATAAATCTTTATCAGGAACATTATCAAAAACAGCCTTCCTTAGAAGAAGTGCCTGTAAGACCCAAAATATATCTTAATGCAAAAAGGAGTGTGGCAATTTCTCTCAACACATAGTAATGACTCTGAATTCAGCCATCCTTCTATATTCCAAGTAAAACACAAATAAAGAGACTATATTAGCAAAGACAACAAACGCGTTGATAAGAGAAACAACCTTTAGTTTACCACCCAAACCATGGATATAGAGATAAGCATAGTAGGACATTTGGATATTACCATAAAGAAGCACCCATAAGCATAGGCAATGAGCACAACTGAAAGGCTCGACGACGGCCAACTCCATCAGCAATCCAACCACTTATCAAGGATCCAGCAAAGGCAGCTGCCAGACAAGTACTCACCACCAGACCTTCATTCACAGGAAAATATAAAACTTAGAATTCAAAAAAAAAAAAGAAATGACATATATTCCAAAAGAATACAATGCAGGTACCTTCCGCCAATGTATCCCCGCTGAAGCCAAGATCAACTGAAATACTTTCAAGTGGTTCATTCACTACCCTGCAGAAGACACAGGGAATGAGACAATTTCTTTTCAATCAAGGAGAAAATCTCTGAAAATAATCTCCAGATCTAACCGAAGATAATGCACAATTTTATAGAAAGAACATTGCAGAGAAAAGAGTATAATTTCCAGAACTAACCCAAGATGATAGCCAAACAGAAATGCAACTATTGTTGCCACGAGTACATGTGGACACGAATACTTCCAAGAGGGATTTGTCATCTCTTTCTCTACACCATTCTGAAGAGCATCTAAGTTGAAATTCAAGAATTTCAAAGAATGTTAGAGAACGAATCAAAATAAGTGAGAGATATATGATAAGAGATTTTTCTAGCTCTGTTTTTCTCTTTTCCTTTTTCATTCCAGTTATATTGATGGTGCATAGGAAATGCAGTCAATCAGAATACTAACACATACTGAGAATTCTTGAAAGTTGTACCCAACGGATCGAAGGAACTGAATATTACCTTGGTGAATGATTCTCTTTATATATAATTAAAAAAAAAGATAGAGAGCTAGTTACAAGAGAGTTGACCCACCTGAATCAGCTTCAACATCAGCATTCATGGAATCTCTGGATGTCATGCGCTTATACATTGAGGGTGAAGCACTCAAGTGTCCCCACATACCACAACTGAGCTGTTAAAGAGAACCAGAATCACTCAGTGTCACATAACCTTTAAGAAACCGTTTTAGATGTTAAAATAAAAGAGATCCAATCAATTTTAAGTCCAGAGAATAAATTGTTCTAAAATACTAAAGGACAGGAGAATCACATCTAATGAAGTACATACCACTAACAACTGCAAAGCCAAAGTTAGCAAAATTTAGTAAAGGTTTAAGAAATGTGAAAAACAATCAGAATTACATTTAAGATGCCAAGTGCTTATTTCGTTTGCACTAGTATGGCCTAGCAATAAAGGCTTTAATAAATATAGTATTATCATATACCAAATTGTACAGAATAGTTTTGAAAATTTCTGTTATATTGTGTTGGTGAAACTAGAATTTGATTAACTACATTTACAACTACATGGAACATGGAATAAGGATAGTTTTCTCATCCCAAATAGCAAACATTCTAAAAAAATAATAATAACTCGACTTCATTTCATATGTCTTTCTTGACATTCAAACATCATAGATGAGTAGATTTGTTGAGCCATGCTTTACAATTCTAGAATAAACATACAAAGGAATTCAATTACCGCTACAAGAAAAGTCCTCTTCTCATACGAAACTGCAACCGATGAAACTTGTAGAAAAGAAGAGAGATAGATGCCTTTTTGTTTTGTTGCTGCTAATATACGCCTCCGATACTGCACCTGCTATATACACTTCTCTTTACCTTTTGTTTTCGTCTTTATTCATTTTTCTTCTCTTTCTACATCTCTCTGGTCTTGTCCCTTCACGCACGTATAAAACAACAACAATATATGTGGTGTTCGAGAATGATGCCTCTGCCACGTGTTATTGGCTGAGGCACAAGTACTTTTTAAAGGGAAAAAAAGATAAATAAATATAACTTCAAACTATCGTAAATGGTATGCAATACGCTTCGTCATATTTTTTGTGACATTGGTGCCCCTGCCGTTCAAAAACTAGAGCATATATATCATTTGTACGGTAGGGCACCATGTGTCCCTAAAGTATGATGGAGGGTTTTGCATACCATTTACGATAGTTCGGGGTATATTTGTCCTTTTTTCCTTTTTCAAAATGGTGACGGGTAGGGCTGTTCAAAATCGAACCGAAACCAATAACTCGAACCGGAAAAAAGTTATTGGTTTATCAGTATTGGGTTATTGATTTAGTGGTTTTGATAATGATTTTGATTTTTTTTATTGGGTTATCGATTCTTAACGGTTTGAAGTATTTTCTTAACGGGTTAACCGAAAACCCGATAGTAAATTAAATAATTATATTTATACCATTTTGTATATAAAGTCCTTGACTTAGAGTTTGGTTTCCTATTTTTATTTTTTGTTGCCTCAAACACTTGGTTATTCTACAATGTAAAAGTGTTTGCTTTTGAGAAAGATGTAACTTGTGAACTCATGTGCATGGTTTATTTTGTTTGTCACCTTGTTTCTAAGTGATTTTCAATGTTTTGTTTGTGTCAAATCTTAACGGTTAAACCGATAACGATCAAAAATCGATAAACCAATAACCGATAAGCCAATATCTTAATGGTTCTATAACGGTTTAGCATCTCTACAAGCCAATAAACATTAAAACCGAACCGAATCGACCAATACGCAGCCCTAGTGACGGGTCTTATCTTATTATCTTTCTTTCTTCTTATAATTATTAATTATTAATTATTAATTATTAATTATTTAATAGCTAGGTAAATTATGAACTCTTTTATTAAGCTTACATATGATCATTCGGTAATATTCATATTTTGATACACACATTACAATAATTATTAATTATTTAATAGCTAGGTACATTATTTGTGCTTCACACGGGACTGAACTCTTTTATTAAGCTTAGATATGATCACTCGGTAATATTCATATTTTTGATGCATACACTATAATAATTATTAATTATTTAATAGCTAAGTACATTGCTCGTGCTTCGCACGAGATTGAACTCTTTTATTAAACTTAGATATCATTCGGTAATATTCATATTTTCGATACATACACTACATTGTCAAGAACATTTTTTTAAGGTAAAACGTTCATTTGAAATCTTAAAGTGCTATATAAGAAAATCTCAATAGAAATAGTTGATCAGAAGTAACGAAATTTTCTAAATTTCAGGAAGTTATAAAAAACAATATCAGCCGTTAAAGAAGAGATCAAAAACCTCGAACAACAACACTCTCAAGTAAAGTGTAACATAACATCCATATAAGAACATAATTAACTAAATTCAAATGGAAGACCTTCGGTTCCTTTCTTACGAACCTCCATCAACCTCTTTTTTTATTATTATAGTATGTTGTATCATGTATATGTCAAAAATGACCCTAACATTGTTAATATCATAAAGGTTTATTCTCATTGTTTCAAAATAGTCATTGTTATTGCTTAGGTTTCATATCACCGGCCCCAACTTATCTGGAATTGAACCATAGTTATTGTTATGATTATAGTATTCAGTTACAAAGAATAAATGCAATGATCAACCAAGCAGTAGGTGGCATGTGAATGAAGTTGTTAACAACGGGATATTCTAAACCAAAATTTTGATACATAACATATTAAAATCTCACATCATAATTATATGAGCACTTGAACTCACAAATATCCACAAATAATAATAAGACGACCTTACTTTCCTAACAATCATAAAGAAAAAGACATGTTTCTTAACATATATATTTCAAAAAGATAGTTTTTCGGGTTGTATCCAAGTTACAATCCACATATTTAATCGAAAGAAGTCAAAAGAAAGAGTTCAGTATAGTAAAAATGATCTTTAACGGTAGGTAATAGCTTAATCACCGCTAAATATGTATTTTCAAAGACAATTAGTATTCTTTATAAATTTCCCTAAAGTCTATAGCAACATTGAATCTAATGACAATTAATTAATGTCGGTAAGACTCTAGCACTCTTTGTTAATGTGCATATTTATTGTCGATAAAAAATATTTTTTGTTATAGTGTATTTTGGGCATCTGTTAGTTTCAAGTAAACTTGATCTCATATTATGCGCAAAAACAAGAAAGGAAGAAATATGACATATTAGTAAACTTGCGATAAAAGAAGCGGACTAAGGGTGTGTTTGGTATGAAGGAAAATGTTTTCCTGAAAAATAAGTAGATTTTGACTTATTTGCTTATGTTTTGTTGGTGAGTAGAAAAAATATTTTTCCGAAAAGATTTTTTAGTGTTTGATTTATGAATGAAAATTATTTTAAAGAAAATATCTTTTATTTTTACTAGAGAGTAGAAAATATTTTTTAAAGACAAACTTAAATATTTTGGGGGAGGGTAGGGCGGTGGGGGAGGGGGTGGGTGAGATGGGGTAAAAAAATAAAATTTTAAATTGAAAATATTCTTTAAAAACTAACTTTAAATTTTATATTTTTTTGTGGGTGGGGGTGGGTGGGTGGTTAGGGGGCTGGGGGGTAGGGAGGTTGCGGGTAAGGGTGGGGTGGGTGAAAAAATATAAATTGGAAATTGGAAATATTTTTTAAAAACAAACTTTAGATTATTTTTTTTGGGAGGCGGGTGGTAGGGGGCTGGCGGGATGAGGGGATAAAAAAATAAAAAGTTGTAAGTTGAAAATATTTTTAAGAAGCTTTAATTAATTTATTTTTTTTTGGGGGGGGGGGGGGGGGGTTTGGGGGGTTGTGCAGGGGGATTGGGGTATGTGTGGGTGGAAGGAAACAAAAATTTGAAAATTTTAAAAAATTTTAAAAATGACTTTTAAATTTTCTTGTCGGGGGGAGGGGGAGGGGGAAGTCAGGGGTTGGGCGGGGTTAAAAAAAATTGAAAATTTTAAAATTTGAACTATTTTTTTAAAAATAAAATTTTAAGTTGTGTTTTTTTTTTGTTAGGGGTGGGGGGAGGGGGAGTTGGTTTGGGGGTAATGACAAAATAAATTGATTTTTTCAACATAAAAAATTGTAATTTGAAGTTGGAGGAGAGTTCTGGAAAATGTTTTCCTTAATTTTTGAAAGAAAGTCATTTTTCTTAAATTTGAGGAAAATGGGTTGATTTGGAAAACATTTTCCAAAACATTTAACCCAACCAAACATGAGAAAATTGGAAAACATTTTCTGGATAATGTTTTCCTTCATACCAAGCACACCCTAAATGTCTCTAGACTAATACTCTAGGAAGAGTAATGGCATACAAAATGTTTGTACCTAAGATAAAATAATCTATATAATATACTAATTGTGGCAAGCAAGAGAGCAATTTATTTAGTTCTTTTAACAAACTTCACCATTGGTTCCATATTAGTTATCACATATTTGTTCTTGTGTGATATCAAATGTAGCACAACCTACAAGCAATTTTCCCAAAAAGTATATGAAGAAGCTTATAAAAAGGGAAAAAGAGAATATCAAATTTCAATCATTGTTATTGAGATTTTTAACGGAGTTAAAAAAAATCACCTAAATAGGAAAAAGAAATTGCAATTTTTGCATGTATCACTGTGACTCACAGTAAAAGATTAAGCTTCTTGAAATAGGAGGAAGAAAACTTCGATGATGAAACACACTTCTTAAGAAACTTAATGTATGTATTTGAATTCGACTCCCATATAGTGGAAAAAAATCGACAAATAATAGTGACAAAATTAAAAGTTTTATTTACATGCCCCTATAGGATTATAAGTCCCTTATGTTGGGCATTAGATTTAGTGATCACGCCAGTCATGCCTTTACACCCCTGGCAAGGTATATTGGGTCCTCTCGACGAGGCATATACATCGGACTCCACATTTAGCTCACGTGGTTTTATGTCGGTTAATAGTAGCTCCCACAGTCAAACTCTTAGTGCATTTGACCAGGTTTTCAGTATATACTTCAACATTCAGTTCAACATGTTATTTTCATGATTAGTACTTGGTCATTGCATTCAGCTTAGCTTTTCAGTTATGTTTCAGTATTTACATTCTTGCTCAGTTATGCTTTGTTTAGCTTATATATATTTGTTCAGCTT